TGCGGAACATGTCCGTAATATTAAAAAGGGTCTTGACACACATTCTGTCTCCCAACACTTTAAAACCCAACACCATCAAGACCCTAAGGGTCTATTTTTTTGTGCAATAAAATTAGTTCAGAGGGATTGGAGAGGAGGAAACTATATTAACAAGCTGGGTAAAGAAGAAATGAAATTTATTTTTAATTTTAATACCCTTATACCCAATGGTCTTAACTCTGATTTTGAAATCTGCCACTTTTTATAAAAAAAAATTTTTTTTTTATTTTTTTTTTATTTATTTTTTTTTTATATAATTATAATAGATGACTGAATGTACATATATGTTTTTATATGTGTCATTTTCGTCTTGTTTGTATTATGGTATTTTTTATTTTTTATCTACCTATGTGTTAATTTTATACATAATTCCATATACCATTTTTATATGATATGATTTTTTATAAGACTTATAAGATTCCCTTTTATTAAATATGGAGGTTCCTTTACTTCTTTTACCCTATACTAAATGTATTTATCAGCATTTATACTGTCTAAGGCTCAAGAAAAAACAGAGCCTGTACAGATATGGACTTTCGTTATTTGATTAGAGAGTAAAGTTTGTTGAATGTGTGGAACGCATATGCGTTCCAACAACGACCCAGCTAACAACCCGCGGACCGGAAATACATCATCAGGACGCGACTTTTGTTATTCAATTAGAGAGTAAAGTTCGTTGAATGTGTGGAACGCATATGCGTTCCAACAACGACCCAGCTAACAACCTGCGGACCGGAAATACATCATCAGGACGCGACCGGAAGTGAAAAAACGGCGCGAACCCGGAAACAACGATTCTCCTGGACAGGTATAAATCCATATTGCTTTATGGACATTACTAGCAACTGAGGAAGCCCATGATCTGGGCGAAACGCGTTTTGCAATTTGTTTGGACTTTATATGCACTTATCATAGTGCTGTGTTAAGTTCTTACTTACTTTTAAATATTTGTATTTTACTTTTTTATTACCTACTATTAAAAGAATTTAGTCCCCAATATTCTATTGGAGTGGACATTTCTTTTAGCACCACTGGAAGAGCATTTATATCCAGAAAGATATCCAGAAAGGGAGTGGGATCCCTTCCAATCATCCCACAGGCACTCTTATTGAGCCATTACTTATTGGCTCCTCCTTTGTGAGTACTAAATCACATATTTACTGTTTGCATATATTGTATTGTACATCATTGCACTAGGTGCTTGTATATGATTTTATCTCCACAGTTACTTCATTTACCTACATGATACCATCTTTTACCCTGAATTGCATCATTCCACCCATTTGTATGTATAAAATAGCCCGTGATGTCTACTTTATATAAATATATACTTTTGTGTGGCAATTTTGTTTTCTTTTATGGCTATTAAGCTTACAAGACAAACATACCAAATTCTAAAATCGCTCCACATTAAAAGTTTATTTTACTCCTTGT